TGAACTCAGGGCCTCCGAATTACAATTCCTGGACTATAACCCTTGGCCACGCTACCTCCAGCAAAATACTTTCAGACTGCAGTGCATGACAGCTTCTTAAGTCGATCGAAGTCCTTGTAGGAATGACAATTAATGAACCAGAAACTTGCTAAAGCCAGGGTATTCTAGTTTTGTTCAAAGGTTGGACAGCTAAGTTTAGTTTTCGTCTGTCAAACACAGTACTATAAATATAGATGGTTTTCAGCTGTCACGCAACAAAAAAATATATAATATTGGAAACCATCCAGTAGAAGAAGCTAAGAAAATGGAATGTTATAAAAGACTAAATAATATATAAACAATTTGTCCAAGTTCTCAGGCCTTTGTGGCCCACAGTTCTGAGTTATTTGCCAAAACATTTCAGGCACCTTTATAGAGCTTTGTATGGGGACACCATATTGGTGTACCATTTTGGTGCACCAATATGGCCACCAGAAATCAACAAAAACATCTGGAGTTCACTTTTTCTATAAAAGCTCTTTCTTTTTACTTGAGACCTAGCATACGAGTGCATGCATTTACATATCTTCTAATACTTGAAATGGTTATACTGCTGAAAATCAAGAGGAGAGACCTATTTTGGTGTCACACACTGTGAAAACTCAGAAATTCAAATTGCTGCATTTATGAAATGAAACATGCTACGGGAATGGCAACAAGTACAAAGATTTCCTTTCTGTTTATCTTCAACCTAGTGTAAATAAGAATTTGTAAAACTTCACCATTTTGACTTTACAATTTGATGACATCACTGTAAAAACCATCTATTGAATATGAATATTGAAAACTACAAGGCATTTGAGCCTACATTGTATCAAGTATTTTTATTTATTGAATAAGTATATAGATTTATTGAATAAATTTCATTCACTCTCTGCTATATCTAACATGGAAACATTCAACCTTTTGAATCCCTCAACCCTTTAACAGGCAAATTTCCTGACAGGAACTTCTTTTCTGGGATTATGCCCGTATTTTGACTCCAACTTCTGTGTTTCTTTTCACTTTTGTGATTTTTTTTCAATTTAAAACTTGAAAGTGACTACTGAAGAAAAATTGTTACTTTCTTTGTAGTAACTGGCCATTTATTACAATGCAACAAAAAGTCTCAATACCACTACTAACCATACTGCTTTGCATTCCCAGCCTTTTTTGGCCACAAAGAAAGTCTCCTTTCTACAGCTGATCGAAAAAGATGAAACATTGAAGGGAATTTGTCTTGACAAAATTGCTCAAAGGGGCAGAAACGAACACCAAAAGCCACTTACCCTGTGCACAAGCAGAGGCTACATTTTCGCTGGGTAAGCTGGCGTGCGAAAAGTAGCCTCTGCCAACAACTGTTCAATTTCTATTCTGCATGAGCGAAATTCGTCACGTGATTTGTAAGCAAAATTAATTATCACGTCTGTCGTCAAATGGGGTGAGTTTCGCGGGAATAAAAAAATTGTGACAACTCTGATCTGCTATGCAAGACTCACGCAATGCTCTAAACTGGTCAAGAACAGGAAAAACCTGTTTTTTTATTCATTCATCCAGATTTCTGGACGGATTTGAATGGTTGTCAGCAGAGGCTACTTTTCGCATACCAGCTTACACAGCGAAAATGTAGCCTCTGCTCGCAGGGTAAACACCACTCGATGGAAAAAACACTATTTGGGCTTCATGTAAGACACAATGAATAATTCAAGGGCCTGATCTACTGCTCCCCTGATCCCCCAAACCTGGGACGCTCTAATCGTGAATTAATAAAAAATGCAATTATTTACTCTCCAACCATTGAATTTGATTCAGTTGAATTAAGTAGCTGTTGTTGAAAACAAAACATAGACAATTTAAAAAATGGTTTAAACTTTCAATGAATCGAGTTCCCTAGCCTCCTAAGTAAGCTACA